GGTACTTATTCAAGATGTATCCTAATCACACTGAGCATGATACAACTTAACTTGCTATCCATCGCACTCTGTGGCAACATAGCAACATCACAAGGAATCAAGGAATTGAAATAATTGAAACATATATATATATATGCACAGGTGCGGATACAAGTTTCCAAAAGAGGCCTTCCAGCAAAGGCTACATGTTTGGTATCTTCAAACATTCAAAACCTTCAGAAGACCCACAAATTTCTCAGCCCGAGCCCCAGGCGTTTGCAACATCCTTGCCTGTCATGTCGTCTCATGCAAGTGCTTGCATGTCATTTAGTTCGCCCCAGCACCCAATCTGCCTGGCTCGAAGGGGTTGTCTATGAAAAGGAACTTCGTAGACATCCGCGAAGGTTCTTTTCCCGCACTTCGCACAGCAATCACTCCACCTTTGTACCTCAGTTGAATCGGAGAACTGGATGTCACAGCGCAAAGGGTGCATGGCTTATTCTTTCTGCCCTGTTTGGGTTCTATTTCCACCTCATCACATACGGGCTGGAAAGGGTCAGTCTTTTTCGGGGCCACAACTCTCTCTCTCTCTCTCACGAGTCACTCGTGAAGAAACAAACTCCTCTTCAGCGGTTTTTGACGGTCCGAGCGGCTCGGTGCCAAAAAATTTGAAGAAGTCCAAGATGTTGGCACCGAGGCTTCCATTCTCACAACTCCCCAGCTTCAGTTTTTCCTTTTCAATGATCCTGGCACAAGTCACGACCAAAATGTGCTTTAGACTTTTGAGTTTTGCTTGCAAGAAGGGCTGAGTCAGCTAAGTCTTTACTCTGGTGACAGTGAATGGTGTATTCTTGGGTCAAGCTCAATGCAAATTCAGATCAAGCAAAGCACATTGAAATGATGAGCGCATTTCTGTCTGTAGCTGCTTGAAAATCATGCTGGAAATCGTTAGACGAGTGCCCGATGGAAGGTGAGTTGACTTGTCAATTTGAAATCACAAGTCACATGAGAATTAAAGTATACTAAAGTAATGTTATTATCTTTTGTGAGTCTAATAGCCTTCAAACCTACTCAGTGACTATATCGATCACCACAAAATCCCTAACCGCTCCTCTCATCCGTACAGAACCGGCAGTCCACTTCCTGCACCTCATGCAGAGGCTGCCCATGCAGGATTGCCAAATCTTGCAAGGATGGCAAACCATGTCTCCTCAAAGTCGCAGAAAATGCAATGTATGTCATTTATATCAATGAGGTTGAGCACGAGTAGTACCCACTTGGCACACTTGTCTCTGCTGCACCAGTACTCAAAACTCCCATGAATCCATCTTAATCTTATGTATTCCCTTTCACATGACTGCCATAGAGCTTCAAGTGCATGTGGAGTCGAGCAGAAATAATTGGAACTGTTCCAAAGAAGCCAAACTCTGACATCTATTGAAGCAATCGTACGCTGAGGCACAGCGCAGGGCTTCCTCAAACACACCAACCAAAAAATAATGCGAGGCACCCCGTTATTTTTGCCGCGACAGGCATGATCACGAAGATAGAACCCACGAAACAAACACAACCAGGTACACGCGAAGACTCCTGTTTTGCTAAGATTTTGGTTTCCTTCATTGTCAGCAAACAAGATGCATCTGCGGCCTGATTCATGTTTGCATGAATTTAAACAAGACCTCATTAATTCTAAGGATCTGTTTTTTGCACGATCCCTTAATCTGCAAGTCCTCTGGAACAAATGGATTGTCATGAGCGTCAAGGCAAAGGATGAAAGAGTTCCTGCAAAGGATGAAACAACACCAATTACAAAATGGACAAAAAAACTCCACCAACCTTACACTGGCAGGATGGACACCAGTGCCAGGGATACCCCTACAGCTGCAAACGAGCTTGGCCAAACTTCACCGTCACCCATAGTTTTGTCGAATTTCACAAACAAGTCCGCAAATCCCAATGTCCTTCGCTTCGATCATTGATGTGTCTCGCTGATGCCCAAGTCTTGATCACTAGCAACATCGGCTTCAGAAGCGGCTCTACGGCCAAGTAAGCACTCACGAGCCTGGCAACTCAGAGACTGGGGAAAAAAAAATAAACACAATTTTGAATCTACAAAACCTATATAATGTGAAATGTGCAAACTGGAACCCTCGACTTGTGCAGCGCCGTGCCTAGAGTTCTCAACGGCCAAATCATTGTTGACAGTGATATCAAAGGAAGGGTCGCATCCCGTTCCATCCTGTCACATCTCAAACCCCCTGCAACAAAAGCTGCGCAGCAATCATTTAGTGAAGAAAGCTCACCTTCGGACAACGGAAACAGAAATTCAAAACAGTCCAAACTACCTCAGTTAAGTCTGAGATCTGTTCCGCGGCAGGTGTGCGACTGCAACATGGTTGTGAGCCCTTCTACCCAAATTGAAGGATTTATTGTCCATTTTGACAAGCACACCGGGAAGATTCTATGTGTGTGTAGACCGTTGCACTTGTTCATCGAATTGCAAAAGTGATGGCGAAATATATACAAGCACACAAACTCAGTGTACATAATACGGTTTAGTTGTTTGACTACCGGTACATGCGCCCCCCCCTTGCAATGGCCTCCTTTATGGATAGCAACGTACTCAAAATTGGCACACGTGTAGGAAGAGGTGTATGTAGAAGGCGTTGAAAACTCCTGGGATGAACAACCCCGGCCAACGACTAAGTATGCTGAAAAAGGTGCGGGCTTTACATACGAGTACTTCGCAACACTTGTCTAATGCGGGCCTTCATCACGCACGACAGATCGCATTGACCTGGTTCAGCGACACGATTTTGCCTTGACGTTCTCTCTCGTGAAATGGCTTGGCTGGTTCCCCAGTGTTTGCCTTCACTTTTGCCGTTGCGAAGCGCGTTCAGATTCTAGTTCAGCCTCCTTTGCTACAGCTCCAAGTCTAGCTGCCAAGGCGCGTTGTCCTTGGGTTTTGGACAAATAACGTGCCCAAAATGCAAACGCATTGTTTCATTTGTTCACGAAGTTTTTGCACGCATTTTTCCCTAAACATACTGCGGCATCATGTGCATGAGTAGAATAGATGTATGTGTTTATCTGTTTGTATGCAATGCATGCATGTATGTACAAACACTGTGTGAAATACCTTGGATATCACATGCAGACCAAACCTCTATAGAACACTCCTCTCCAAGTGTTGTTTCCTGTGGCTTGTCAGGCTGACCTATGCAAATCCATGCAATTCCCACAATGAAAGCCTTTTCCCAACTTGTCGGCGGAATCCATCTCAGCAAGGGCATCTTCGCTGACAAACGGTTTTCTGGCTTCTCCCCTGAGAACCTGAGTAGAGCCAAAAAAAGCAAATGTCTCAAGTGACTTGCACACGCTATTTGTCGGTAGGTGCTTGAGGCAACTCTTCCTAACCTCAACAGTCTGCACAAACACTGCTATATTGAAGTACCGCTTTTTGGTCTCCCAGTGAATATCAGTCCAGAGAAAATTCAGTAAGCCCGATCAACCTTGGTTTCTTCCTGGATTTTCCAGTGTAAATGTGAAATGTGCAATAAGAAAGCTTTGACTGCTGCCTTGCGTTCGACCCTTCACTAGATTCAATTGCAAATCAAGCTCCCGTATTGTAGAGGTGGCAGCACTGGGGAAACAATCGTCATCAGAAGTTTGCTTGTCGGAGCTGAGATGGAGTCTTGCCGAATCTCTGTGGACTGGGATGGAACATATGGAACCGTTTGTAATGTTCTTACTTCTTCGGGGGAGAAGCTTAGTTGAAGACCCTTCGCTGTAGTAAGAAATGGTTGCAAACGAGGCACCTATTGATTGTAAGGGCCACTCGATGCAGGACACTCTTGGTTTCGATGCGTCCACGCACACCTGCAACCTGCAATGCGTCTACGCCCATCCACAAATCTGTCTCAAAATGCATCAAACTCCCCTTGCATGGTCTGGTCTCCATACCGAATAGTCCAACCAGTTGCCTGGATAATCAGGGCACACGTAAACCCCGCAAGCCCGGAGATCGCTGCGACGCAAACAAGCCTTCAAGCTGAGATCCACGTCCCGGCCAGGGACCCAAAGACCTCGCAAGTCGCTGACATAGAAAAAGATGCAACATAACAAAATGAGAATGTTCAGTTGGGGGGTAGAAGTGTGTGATAACTACTAGTAACAAGAAGCTACTAGGCTCCTGGCATCGCTACTAGGAGCAAAGAGGCTACTAGGGGCTCCTGGCCTTAGCTTACTATATACTAGGAACAAGAAGCTACTAGGAGCAAGGGCATGCTGCACCCTCGCCTGTCGCAGCAGATCCAAAGGGTACCAGATTGCAGCCTGGAATGGCTGCCTGGAAACGACCAAATTAATTAATGACATCCAGGCAGCCAAACGAACCCACAAAAGTAAAGAAGAGGAAAGGGCCGAAACTGGCGAGAATTAGAGCATGTTGTCACCGAGCTAGTCTACCAGTCCTCCATTTTGGCTGTTTTGGCTGTACCTGCACATACCAAAAATCTGCTTCAGTCCACAAACAACTTAATCTTCTCTGTTTCGTCCAAAATCTCCATCTCGGCCAACTCATCTACGGCCAAGTAAAGTCTAGGAACGCTATCCGTTGCAAAAGATTGAGCATACTACTAGTAGCATGAAGCTACTAGGTTGGAGATGTTCAAGCACCTGCAAATGATGTTCTAGTTCTTGCACCGTCTCGTCTCGGTGCTTCAGCTGCTCCTGACTCAAACAGCAGAAGGTGTAAACGTCTCATTTCGATGTAAAAGCTTTTGAGCCAATAAACATGTTAACCACTTCTCCAGGAAAAAACACACCCATCATAGTATTCTTAATATCTCATACTTCCGTCCCGTCACTCTTCGTTGCAAAGCTCAGCAGCAACTGCAGTCCTCGGTGGGTAGCAGCCTGGCAGCCAGTTCCTCTACTTCGCATGTGAGATGACGCAGTCGCACTGAGGGTCCTCGATCCTGCAGAAAGGTTTTAACCGAAAACTCTTAAGCTTCTACCATCCAACCATGCATCTGTGGGATTCCAAACCCCATTTGTGTCTTTCCCCCCATCCTTGGCCCACAACTCGTATACAATACAAGCAGTCTATGTTGGGGAAAAAATACATTCCACTCTTGGCTCGCAAAATGCATGCAATTCTATCCTTCCTTGACTCAATGTTGATTCAGGGAAAAAGACTAAAGAAACGAAGGAAAGGGCCACTTACCTTGGTTTATCTGTCTCTTATGGTTTTCCTGTTTTTGCCTACGTTCTTGTCAACAATCATCACACTTGGAGAAAAACCGGTCCTTGGCCCGGGAACAGTTAGACCGGCCTTCATCTTGCTCTCGACCTCTTCACATGTTGCAGCCACAAGTGCCAACTCCAAACCTCACAAGACCTATGCAGTAGGCGATTGCGATAATGAGTCAATAGATGTCAATAGAGTTAAAATCCTCCTAGTAGCATCCTTGCTCCTAGTAGTAAGGCCAGGAGCCCCTGCGCAAGGACACTCCTATTAGCGATGCCAGGAGCCCCTAGTAGCTTCTTAAGCTCATGCAGCTATGCATGAATCCAGGAATGTCAAGGTATCTTCACACCCTCGCAGTGCCGCCTGCATTTGTCGCAGGTGGCACCTTACCGTTGCCAAGGCTGCATTGCGTCAGTTCAGAATCCTCCTCTCTTCATTGACAAGTCAAACACGCAACGCGTACTTGCACCAACTCCTGCACATACCTGCTCAGCTTTACTGAGGTGATCACCCAAGCGAGGGGGGCTTGTGTAGCGCTCCGCGCCTGCAAGAAAGGATCCAATGTGGAGCACCTCTGCGTGTCTGCAAAGCATATACCCTATATAATGCTGAGCTTTTTCGCAATGCGCACACTGCAAATTTGCCCGGATGTGTCAAGTCCCCAGCAACCCCACCCAAACCATTGCATCACGATTGTTTTCCTCGCCCCATGCCTGGGGCAAAAGGCATAGCCGGCATAGCCCAAAGCTAAGAGCAGAAGGAGGCTTTGTCCGCAGCATGGCATGGCCAATTCTGGAAGTCAGATAGGGTACTCGGAGGTTGTGGCAGAAATACTCAAACAAAGACCATATTGCTCCATGCAACGTTGAAAAAAACATCAAAGCAAACTCTCAACACTTGGCATGCCACCATGCGAGCTTTGCAAACCACTTCGACATTTAGCCAATACTGTCCGTGCCCTCAAAGCAAAACCCTAGTTACCAGTTAGTGTTGGTGCCTAGAAAGCTACGATCAAATTGAGGGCTTTAATCAATTCAAGCCTATGTATGGAATGTCCTTATGAACAAATGCCTACATGATGTCAGAGTCCTCCTGTTAGTCAAAAAGCTGAAAGCCAGCAGACATTCGATAGAGGCTAGGTTTTTTTATGATACGGCGACCACCGAGATCTACACGGGGCACGTTGCTTCTTTTGCTGTTTGGCCTTCGCCTGCGTGCGAATGGAATAGTCAAAAAAAGGCCTCTGAGGAACCAAGGCTGGTGAACATCGAATTGAGGTCTTGTATCTCAACAAACACATAACAAAGAGCATGTCAAAGGAAGCTAAGCTCTGGCTTCTTGAGGACATAAAACACCGTCCCAACAGCTTGTTTCAACTTACAGTATATATGTAATTCCCTTCTTGTTGCCTTCAACCATAAGGGTCCGATCTCTAATGAAACGACACGCCTTCTTTTTGGTTTGAGCAAGACCTCGCAACGGCAAGACTCGGAAGCATCTGGACCTGCGCAACCGGCTGGCAACCAGGGAGGGTCTGCAAGAAAAGTGTCCATTTCTTCCTCTTTACTGCTTTGATCTGTTTACTTATCTGTATATCATCAATCAGAACTTTGCAAGGGCTGCATCGCATCAGCCTCAGCATTGTGCCCTGACCCGGTCACCTGAATGGGTTCAAGTAGCAAAGTGTCAAAGACCCAAGTCTGATCAGTGGGCAAGACTGCAAGGCTCTGATTCTTCATCAACGACTTGCATGTCATGCGCACCTCTTCATTCTCGCATGGCAATTTCAAGGACAAGGTCTTTTGTCTGCATAGTACAAGTGTATATCTAGTGTCTGCCAGTGTCTGGGCTGCAAAGTGGAGAGACTTGAGTCATGGAGAGGTTGACCGAAATGTGCAGTTAAACGCTTAAATTCTATAAACCTTTTCAGCAAAAGATTAAAACCAATCGTGAAAAAGCAGCCCTCATCCCAAACTGCATACAATAAAATACACAATTCCAAGGCTCTGAAGCTGTGAATGTGCAGCAGCTTGACGAAAATCATGAAAAGTCAATTGCACGATCCAAAAGCATGATCAAAATTGAAGTATGCTTTCCCATGTTCTTCTCAAACCTTTTCTGGTCCTTTCTTTATCTGTGTATCTTTTGCTTTCGCCTAGCACGCCACTTTTTCTGAACGAGATTGGTCCAATTGTCCATTCGCAAAGGTGAAGGAGGACTCAACCGCACGTCAGACCTAAGCTCAAACAAACACAGATTGCGATGCACAACTCCCAATCTGCAACACAGCAGGCTTCATAATACGTATGTGCAATGGAACTAGTGACTAGCAAGCTACGCATCTTATCCCGACATTGCAAGTACCACGACACTCAGGGCTAGCTTGTAAATAAACCTTGATATGAGTACGAACAAAGGAAAAAATTGCAAAGAGAAAGCACTTAAACCGAACCAGAGAGCATCTTCAACATGTTAGAGACATGGCAATGGGTGATAGATCCATACACTCCATCCGCATGCACATCATATGTACGTGATAGTAACAACCATTCGGAAGATGCTGACAGAATTGCTGCATTGCTCCCTTCTCTTGGTTCTTCCTTATGTGATTAGTCACTTCTGGCCACATTCGGTTTACTTTGACAGCCAAGCTTCGGTGAACATGGTCGCGCGGGTGAAAGCGGCCACCGGTCCAGCGAAAGTGCACGTCTCTGCTCTGTGCTCGTCTCACTCTTTTCCGTGCTTGTGGCCGTGCTCGTCAAAGCCTCCTCGAAGAGATAGCGCTCCAGCTCGTCGTCTGGTAGTGTCACCGTGGGTGACACCCCCTCCAGTGAGACACCCCCACTGTGTGAGGCCACGTGGAATTGAGAAAAGGACGCGAGGGCCTCCGCCTTTGCCAAGGCCAATTGCTTCTCAGCATCTTCCAATCTGGCCTGGGGGTCTTGAAAAACTTGGAAAACGATCATGTTCCTCCACATTGGCTATTTTCTTAAAATTCTGGCAACTCCATTCGTCCAAAGTGGAAAGAAATGTACTTGTATATATTCTTTTTTAACATGTCGGAAAATATGTGTTCATATTCACTCTGCCTCACTCATGGAAGGACCCATTGCATTTTGTCGCTGGCGAAGCCCTCCTCACTCAGCAGCTGGCAAAGCAATCCAGAGAAAATTGCAAGACTTGCATACTCATCCTCTATAAGTCTATATATAAGTGTGCCAACTTGGAGGAGTTTCTGAGAAGTTTCCGAATCATCTTTCGAAAAAGTGTCTAAGGAGTTGCTTCGTCTTCGCACCAAAAACAAGTGGCTAGAAGACGAATTGAGGTCCTCGAGCTGGGCTTTGGCTCGTGGAGGATCTTCGGAGCAAACCCACCAGCTCCCGACGGCTTAGCTTCTTGAGAAGATGGGGTGAGATGGATCCACGAAGCATCTGCTTGGCCAAGCCAACCATCTCTGCATCCGAGAAGTATGCCCATTCATTAGGAGGCTCAGGTGCCTTGGATGCCTGAGGCGGTGCCTGGGGCGATGCCTTGGCCTTGGGTGAGTGGGGTGCCCTGAAAAGCGAAGGCTGGCTGCAGTGCATGGGTGCACCACCTCGGCTCGGCATACTGACTCTTGCTGGCATACTGACCACGTAGGAAGCGGTCATCGGGACTGGCTGTGGAGCCTGAGGGAGGTCGGATGAACTGGGAACAATTGAAACCCGTCTTTTTTCATGGAAAAGAGTGTTCAAACCTGTTCAAAAAGAGTTTTCACTGCCCAAAGCGCAGTGAAATGAGGCACCGTTTCAAGCTTCATTGCCGTGTGAGTTGATTGACTGACACTACATTTGAATGTTCATATTTACAGATAGCATGCAAGCTCCGTCACAAGCTTCGTGAACAGCTTCGCACATTTTAGAGGTTCCCCTCCCCAAATTGAGCCTTGGTCTTTACAATTGGATTCCTCCAATTTGTGGAATGCAATGTCTCCAAACCGCGACCGTAATGCATCACCGTCCGTAACAATCATGGCTCCCTGAGAAACTGAACTTACTGGAGATTGTTAAGCCCTGTATTGAGCCATTCTTGAACCGGCTCAAACCTAGAATACTGAATCTCACTGAATCTTATGACTTAAACAATGTGTCTGGATGCCAGCAGCATCTGTCAAATCTCACGCCCCAAAAAACCTGGACCCCAACCGACCCCCAACTCCAAATATGCCTTGGTCACAAAGGATGCTTGGATGGGAGGCCTGAAAGCTGGGATCCATGAGATATTGATGCATGGGCCCATGCTCGTGGCACAACTCGTCTCTTTATATCTGGAAAAGGAGGCTCACAATGGGCTCTCCCCACTCTCCCTCCCATGTAGACTAGAGGCACCGTGTTGTGTAAAGGCGTTGAAACTCTAGGACTCTAGGCAAAAGAGGCTCGCACCCAAACTCACTTTCAGCTTGCAAGCTCAGCTCGCAGCGGTGGTACCAAGGGCGGAGAGGTTCGAAATCCCATGGCCGGCCTTGGTGCATTCTTAGATGGAGGTGACAATATCAATAAGTATCAGAGAATCAACAATTCTTCACATAGACCAAGTCTTGTCGTGCATAGCAAAGGTCTACATAGTCACATCATGTCAGGCAAAAAGCAGCTTCATGGCAAGTAGAATGATCACATTATCCGTCGATGGCCTTGATCGAGGATGGAAAAGACATCTATATATCCTTCCCGTCATATCTACTAGCTGACTTGACATTGAATGCACAGGCCCTTTCTTCACAGCAGCGGAGACGTTCGGCTGAGCAAACATTCACATCTGACTAAACGTTCTTCAAGGCTCTGAGTCCGAACCGTTTGCTTCTGCAGAGCAGCCTGAAACTTGTGATGTGATGCGAAAAGTTCAATCTCACTCTGTACCCGTTGCTCTTTGTTGCAAGTGATCTGAGCATCAAGTTCATCTAAGCGCTTGGAAGTTGCCAAAGCTGCTCGCTTCAACGTTTCCTTGCTCTCCAGCACATGCTGCAAGCTTGCATCAGTGTCGGCGATGGAGTGGCGCAGGTGCTTGAGATCTTCAGAACCCCGAGCACTCTGCCCACCGATCTCATGGCGGAGGGCCTCCAACTGTAACGTGTGCTGGGTGGTGACTGCTCGAAGACCTTCTAGCTCAACATGCTTTGTCAACTCGCTTTGGACCAAGGCTCTAATGTCAGCCTTGGAGGCGTCTGAGAAGGAGGTTTTGGAGCTGGCTAATTTTAGAACATAGTCCAGCCTTTCAGACAGTGCAGCCTCCCTCACGTGGGCAGATTGAACTTCTTCCTCAATAGACCCCAGCGTTGGCATATCGTTCTTGATCTGCTCGCAGCGTCCAACGCACCTCCGAAGATGCTTCTGCTCCAGTTGCATGTCTGTAGACTCTTTTGACAAGCCCACCAGCTGCCGTTCAAGCTTCTCAAGGCGTGAAAGGTGGACGTCCCCGTGTTCCTCCACCAGAAAATTCCTTTTCTTCGTCGTCTCTGACATTAGAGAGACTTCTTGCTGCAGGACATCAATGCGCTTAGCCATTTTGCTCTCTTTGCAAATAAGCTTATGATATCCTTTCTGGAAGAAGACGGCATATATAATTTTAAAGAGAGATACAGTAAACCGTTTTCACCGAACTGACTACTGTAACAGTTGCCAAAAGAATCTCGATGGGGTCTGAAGGCAAACAAGCGTCGATCAAGACTCTCTTGCTGCTGTGACTTGCTTTCACCAAGGATTTTCTTGAGTTCTTGAAGCTGACTTTCAACGCCAGCCAAGCGAACCAAGATCTGTGAAACCGAACTTCGGCAGTCGTTCAAGGAGTTGGAGAAGACTCCGTTGAAGCTCAACGTCTCTTTGGATGACGTGGACACCTCGCTGGATGTCCTCGCTGGACGTCCTCGCGACGTCCTCACGTCGCCAACGGCGCCCCTTCCAGGCTCCACGAGTTGCTTCGCTTCGCCGTTCATCTCCTCAAGGACAAAAACATGACAGGCACACTGACAGGCACACTGACAGGCACACTGACAGGCACAACACACAGCGTGCTCACTTTTTTGTTCATCAATTTCTCGCCTTTGAAACTCAGAAACTCTCAAATGCATGTCGGAACTTCGGAATGTCCTTCCCGTGGACGGCCGAATGTCGAAAGCTCTCAGGACTTCCCGACTGGGCGACACGGCCATGGAGTCGAAGCCCCTCCAGTGCCTCCAAACGGCCTTCCAGGCGCTGGTGCCGCACCTCGTGGTGACTCCACTGCTGATCGCTTGCAAGGACCAGCGAGTGGATCCGATGATCCATGTGAAGCAACCTTGGATCCACGCAGTTGCATCACTTACTGTACAGTAACTCCATAGCTTTGCAAAAGAAATAATGCAACAACTTGTTCGACATCATTGGTTTACCTTTGGAAGATCATTCAGGAGCAACTTTTGCTCAATCTCCTGGAAGAGCAGGGCGTACTTTGATGTCACCTCATTGAACTCCTCGCAGCATTTCGCGCTTAAAAGCGACTTGAGATCAAAACAGCTCAATGGGCATCCGTCCTATGTTTCAGCTGTAGTGCCTCTTTAATAAATGGTGAGGGGGGAGAAGAATTTCAGCTTGAGTCTTTGCATTAGCCTGCCATTTGGGTATGCTTGGAGGTGGGAGAATCTGGTGGGTATGAGATGGCATGAGTGGTTGCTGTTCGACTTGATTGAGAACTTGATAGAACAAGCTTCGGGCTGCTAGCACAAGGAAATAGATTGGCATTAAACCAAACAATATATTACATATATATATATATGGGCCATATGGCTTTGTGGCTTCAAAGCGGGCGCTCTTTTCTCGATTGGTGGCCCAACTGTGTGTCATCTCAAAACGCCAGTGATGTATGATGATTCAGGTTTTGACTCATTGGAAGGATATCTGCAAGTTTGACTAAATTCACAAAGCTCTTATTATTCCATAGTTACTACCTATACAAGGCAAGTCGGCAAACAAGTTGGCATCTGAGGGGTTTAGCACTTGAGTGGCCACTCCCATACGCATTCCCTGAGCTGTTGCCGATGTATCAAAGATCATGTGCTGTAGACCCATGGAGTTTGGCAGCCCTTCCCACCCTTGTCCGCCTCCCTCCCTTGGAGACCTCCTCGTGCCCTTTGGTTGAGGGGGTAGTCACCAAATGCATCCCTTCACCAGCAAAACCGAAAACAAAAGCACCCAGTTCCCGGTGCAAAACGCACACATGACAAGTTACGCAGAATGTGATCCATTCGACTCCATTTGACTCTAAGTGCTTTTGTCTATGGATTGATTTATCACACTCCAAGAATACGGCAAACCTTCGAGGTATTGAGTTCAGCAAAACAATAAGCAAACAAATGGTTTGGAACTGGGAAATGATTGGTCTCATTCTGCTTTCTAATGATTTCGGACCCTCGCTCAACCGGTTCTCGGGGAAATGCAGCTGAGCTTGGCCACAACCATAACATGGTCTACCCTGTCTTGCCAATAAAAAATAAGAAAAATAACTAACTAATCTCACCAGTGCCACACCGTTATTGGTGCTGTCCGACTCGTGTCTGCGCCCAACACTTCCGCACACATGGGTTCCGTGGCCTTAGAAGGAACTGTGACAGACAACGGTCGCAAAGACCAATCCACGTCGGTGGCCACGCTGGCGAAGGGGTCAGAATAGTGCGGAAGGACACGAAAGTCTGACATAGCTCGCAGGGAGTATTGTCCAAAAGCGATCTCCCAAAAAGTAGTAAGAGGTGGTGACATGAATTCCCAAAAGTTCTGGTTAGTCCACAAAGGGGTTCACTGCTGCCACTTAGCTTTGCCAGAGACTGAGGACAAAAATTGCTTCAATAATATCATCCAAATTCCAATGCTTTGAGGTCCTTTGAGATTTCTTCGAGATTCGCCAAAAAGTCCCGGAAAGAGAGGCTGCTTGTGACTGCTGTAGTTGGATTTTTCCAGCACACTTGAGCACTGCTATTGCACAACCATCAATAATTATACAATTCTTTTCTGAAGTTGTGACGTCTACATGTGCATCGAACCCTGGCTCTGTGCGCGAACTAATCATCCTCCTTGACAAACCTCACGGTGCTGGGATTCCAAATGATGAGCTCTGCACGGCGAGGGAGGCAATGAAGCACGCAAGCCTTGGCTCGGAGTGGATGTGGCAGCACTGGTGATGGAGCTCTGAGCGGAGCCCCTGGAGCCCACAGAACAACATACATACTTTCTCGACAGTCACTCTGCCGAACGTCATCAGACAGACATCCTTTGCCACGTGTTTTGTTTTTGTACCATGGAGCTGAATCCAGGTCCAGCCCCTTCAGAAGGAGTGGGTCTTGGAAGAAGGCTGCAGCTTGTTTGATGCCTACAAAGGAAACAGGCACGAGTCGACACGAAGTGCCCTGGTCCTCTCCCACAGGATCCTCAATGCACATCATTGGCACCAACTAAACTTAACCCTAATTAATGGAGTCTCATCAAAAATTACTCCGCATTGATCCGAATTGTGTTTGGCCTGAAGGGGTTTCGACATCCAGCATCAAGGCACAAAGGAGCTGGCGGAAGCCCTGGCCCTGTGCAAGGTTTGACTCGGTTTGACCATGTCAAGCGAGTTCCAAATCCAAAAATAACAAAAGTCATTTGAACCCATGTGTTCCTTTTTCGAGTTCAACTACCTTTCAACTCGGCTTGGGCATTGATTGTGTGCAAATCTGTGCCCTTCCATCCCTAATCGCTGCACCTTCACATGCTTTTATGTTTTGTACTTGTTTCATGAAGTATGGCAGCATGCAGACCTAAGCCGCACCTCCAGCTGAGGAAAAGCACCTCTGGCTAAAGCTGTTGATTGTCCACTTCCAATCTATCAGGCTGTTGGGTCCTCCTTTCAGTGCGTCCAACTCCGGTTTGGAATGTTCAAATCAGTGTTTGGCACCTCGATGCCGAAAGCAACGCATAGCCACTGAGGGCGCGTGGTTCTTCACCCACCTTCACACCAAGGCACGTCGCAGGGCACGTCGCATGTTTCATGGTTACTTTCCACATTGCCTGAAGTACTGAACACTGCATGAATTTCATTCTTGCAATGGAAAAAAGAATTGGTTGCACTCCGTTGTCTGAATGCCATCAACAGGCGAGCTGTCTCATTCTAATGCGCCTCCGGTGGCGGTATCGGATCCCAAAAAGCGTCCGATACCACCGGAGGCGGAGGCGGCACGGGTCTGGGACCTGCAAAGTGATGGAATCGTTAGAAAAGGATGCAGGGATCCTGTTCGCAAAATCGTTCTTGAAAGAAAGGAATCAACAAAAAAAAGGGAACACGAACGGAACAGTAACGGTAAGGGGAAAATTCAAGAACACCCCGTCCTTTTGTCTTGATGCTAAGTTCAACACCCTTGTGCGCAGCCATTCGGATCTCCACTGTTTCTAAAATGAAACAGTAACATGTGTTTCTGATGACCGCACACGTGTAACACGGTTGACCAAAAATAATAGTCTCGTGATGCGCTGCTGACACCTCAGACCCCTCTCCATCATACTACAATGTGCTCATCGCACCTTGGCGAACACAACCAAACACAAATATATATATATATATACGTTCCTGCTAAACAATCTCTCATTTCCTAACCACCGACTTCAACCTTGATGGTTGCACGCTGATTTGCCAACAAGTAACGTTGTTGTCAACTCAAGTCATTTGTCAACTTCAATGCTTTGCAAATTGTGTTTCTTCAGAATCTCGAGATGCCAAAAAGAGCCGAA